CTAACGTTTTTAATAAAGCGGCTAGTAATATACTAGCGCCTTATAGGCTATATAACTATAAAATTAAGCTCTTAAATAGTAATAAGGAGAAGCTAACTTATTACCCTTTATATAAATAATTAGTACCCGAGCTAGAGGTTATAAAAGCCTATTTATTAAAGTACTTATAAAAGGGATTTATCGAGCTAAGTAATACTCCTTTCGTATTATTAATACTATTTATAAAAAAGTATAATAGTAGTTTACGTTTTTATATTAACTTTTATAAGCTTAATAAAGTTATAAAAAAAAATTATTACTTATTACTACTTATTAATAAAACCCTTACGTAGCTAAGTAGGGTAAAAGTATTTACTAAACTAAATATTAAGTAGGCCTTTTACTATATTTACCTCGACCTAGCTTTTAAAGATTTAATAACGTTTAGAACCTATTACGGGGCGTATAAGTATAAAGTAGTACCCTTTAGGCTCTATAACGGGCCTATTACGTATTAATAATATATAAATAAAATACTAATAAAGTACTTAAATAACTTTTATATAGTATATATAAATAATATCTTAATCTTTTTTAATAACCCCTTTTAATATTAAGAGCATATTACTAAAGTACTAGATTGCTTATAAAAAGTAGGCTTATAAGTAGATATTAAGAAATACGAATTTAGTATTATTTTTATAAAATACCTAGGCTTCGTAGTTTTTATAAAAGGTATATAGCTTAATAAGGAGAAAGTTTTTATAATTAGAGATTAAAAACTACTTATATTACTTAAGGGTATCTAGTCCTTCTTTAGGTTCTATAACTTTTATAAGAGATTTATAGGGGATTACGGCTACTTAGCTAGGCCCCTTACGAAATTAATAAATAAAAGAGTTCTTTTTAATTTTAGTACTAATTATAAAATAGCTTTTATAACTATAAAACTAATACTAACGTTAGCGCTAATCCTTTACTATTTTAAACTAGAGCTACTAATATAGCTAAAAACTAACGCCTCTAACTTAATATATACTAGAGCGCTATTATAATAATAAAAAAATAACGGGTTATAGTACTTAATAACCTTTTATTTAAAAATAATAAGTAATATAGAGCTTAATTATGCTATTTATAATAAAAAAATACTAATAATAGTACTATACTTAAAAAAATAGCGCGCGGAGCTTATAAGCTATAAGTATAAGTTTAACGTTATTATAAACTATTAACTATTACTATTTTTTATAACTAAACGCCTATTTAACTTATAATAAGCTCGTTAAGCTAACATACTAGCGGACTTTAATTTTTAAATCTATTATTACTTAAGAAAGGAGAACGTACTAACTAACGCCCTATTATAAAAAATAGAAAATATCCGTACTTAATAAGTACTAAAAAAGGCTAATAAGACTTAAGTCTTCTTATTATTAAGACTACTATTCCTTAATATTATAATAGAACTATGGGCGCTATTAAGCGCTATAATTAGTTAACTATAGCTTATAATTAACTCGCTCTTACTAAAAAACGGGCTCTAGGGGTACTTATTAATAAAAGAAATTTTAAAACTTAATAAAGACCTTATTATAATATTTTTTATATTAATATAAGCGCTAATAGTTAAAGGGCGCGAGTACTAGTTTATTTAAAACGACGGATTATTAATAATAAATAAAAAGCTTATAATACCTAAAAAAAAGAACTTTTATATTATAATTATTTATAAAGCCTATAAGTAAAAGCTCCTTACCTATTTAGAATATAATAAGGTTATAAAAATAATTAAGTAATAATATTACTAGCCGGGCTTAATAACGGATATTTATTAATACGTATAGAACTATTATACTTATTATTAATTATAAAAGCCGTATAATAAGCCCCCGGGGGAGCTAAGACTATTTTTAATACTTAACTACCCGTAATAGTATATTTCTACTAACTTTATAACTATCCTTATTAATTAAAAAAAATTTAATAATATTTAAGTAGTAGTAAACTACTTAGGTAAGAGGGCGATATTTATTCCTTATTATAAAACTATTATAATAAAAAATATAAGCTAAATATTTTACGAACGAGTACTACCTATTTTCAGCTTATTAAAAACTATTATATTAAACCGAGGCCCCTAATTTATTTCCGATTTCTAAGGAGAGCTCTATAAGATTTATAAAGTTAAGCTATAATTATTAATAACTAACTATTTTTAAATAAATAGCTAAATAGAAATACTAAACTAATATATTTTATAATAATTAAGATTATTAATTAACTAATACTTAGATAATTAGAGTAATATACTACCTATAGTTAACTTTATTTATATTACTTAGCTTAGTAAGACTATAGGGCTATTATTATATAAAATAAAATTCGGTCGTTAGCTACGGCTTTTTTTTAACTAATTTAAACGAACTTACTAATTCGGCTTTATAAAAAAAAAGCTAAACCGTACTAATGCGTAGCGTATAGCCTAGGGAATATATAAGGCCTAAGAGATCGCTAGGGGTAATATAAAAGTTATTTAAGTATAATATAAGAGGTATACCGACTACTGCCGGCGCCCAGACGACCTAAAGCTAAGAAACCGGGTCTTTATTAATACCTCGTACTAAAAGTCCGCTAATTACTAACGACGATAGTAAACCGGAGTACGAGGTCTTAGAGGTCGTTAAATTACGCTTATATAGGGGAAAACTATAATACTAAGCGGATTAAAAAGGGTATAATACGGACCCGACTTAGTATAATATAAAGAGCTTTAAGTATATACTAATAGCGCTCTAAGTATTCTATTATTAATACTTAATTATTAAAGGCCTATTACGGAACTTAGATATATAAATAAAAGCTACTATAATTAGTAATTCGCTACTACTAAGAAATAATAATAATATAATAGTAGTAATTATAGCTATAGATTTATTAAAATAAGGAGTAATTTAGAGGTTTATTTTTTAATACTATAAATAGTACTCTCTAATATAGAGGGGGGGGTAATATTATAATAATAAGTACTAAGGCCCTATAGGCCCTATAGCTTAGCCTTAGGCTATAAGGCTAAGCTCTTAATAGTTACGTAATAAGCTAGACCGCTAGGCCTAAAGGGCTAGCTTACTAGCTTCTACTTACTATTCTATTTTTTCCCTCTTTATATTAAGTCTTTAGTTAATTAGGTTAATATAGTAGCGTTCCGACCTGCCTCGAGATCCCTTTCGTGACACGGATACCTAGTAGAGATCTTGTCGCAAAAATCCGGGGTAAGGTGCGCCCGCAACTCTACGCCCGCACCATCGATCCGCAAAACAATCGCACATCACAACGTAGCGTCAGGAGCAAACGTCTCATCACATTGGGTAGAGAGAGAGAGAGAGCCTGGAGTAACACCAGAACTGGATTTCGTAGCCTACGAGAAGCACGCAATGGCAGAAGCCGCAGCATCAGAGACCCCGCCATGGTGGGCGGCCTTTCCCGCTCCCAAGGCCAAGTCACCGGAAGTCGAGGCAGACGAGGTGATGGGGTTACTTGAGGCTCAAGCTGCGACCAGCAACAGCACACCTCGAGCCTTCCTGCTCGTCGATGTGCGCCGGAACGACTTCGAAGGTGGCACCATCTCAACGTCCATCAACTTCCCGGCACAATCCCTATACCAGACAAGACCCATCATTCATCAGCTGTGCAAGCAGGCAGGTATTAAGCGTGTTGTATTTTACTGCGGTGAGTTCCCGCCGTCTGCCTCTTGTGACTGTCTAAGACTCCCTTTTTTGGGCTTATCCCCCATGCTGAAGCCACTCAGGTAGCAGCAATGGCCGTGGCCCTCGGTCAGCGAACTGGCTGCAGGACTATTTCGACGAGGTTGGCGAAACTGCCGTGCAGGTCGTCATCCTCAAAGGCGGAATCAAGGGCTGGGTTCGTCAGTATGGCGGCCGCATGATGGACTGGTATGACGAGAAAGCCTGGGCCGGTCTCGACAAGTAGAAATACCCCGCTTCGTCCCGGCCTATGATTGCAGGCTGCGCAGTCGTACTTCTGGGCCGTATGAATGTGACATCGTTGTGCTGGTATCTAGCATATTTCATCCCCATCCTTGTCTCTGAAACCAAAAAATCATCTTTTGCCGTCATAACGCCAACTTGTAAAACCTGTACTGCCTTTTCGCGGAAGTCGACCACCGGATAAAGACGCGCCTTTTACCGCTGGTGGTTGCGATCGTCACCGCCGATTCTCTCCAGAGCCTCCAGCATGACAACGGAGTTGCCGCGGATGACCTGTTGCTATATTAGTGTTCAATGTTCCAAATAAAAAGGTTGGAAAGGGGGTCTTTCGCAACATACCACCATGCCTATCCGAACCTTCTCGCCGCCCTCCTTCTCCTCGACAGCCTCGTCCAGCACAATGTTCAGGAAAACCTTTGACACAGGTTAGCAGGGGCCGCACCCAAGCAGATCGTCAGGAGACTGCGTACATCGTAACCGCGCAGAACACCGATGACCTTGCGGCTGCCGTTGAGCTGGACAAACAGTCTCTTGTCAAGGTACTACGAAAAGACGTGTTAGCTTTCCGAAATCTCAAATAGCAATGGACGGGACAATGAGGGATAGCCAAGCAGCTTGCATAGCTTCCGTTATCTGGCAATACATCGAACAAGTCTGGAGACTCCGGTATGTCCGTGAGAAATCGGGGCTTCCGTACCTTCTTCAGCTCGGGCTGTGCGGGCGCCATCTTGAGTAATTTGGTGGGTGGGTGTAGAGTGCCGAGGAGGAGTTCAATGGGTAGGTGCCGGTTTGATGATGTCGCGCGAGGTGAGCTTTGCGACGCGACGGAGCTCTGACGGCCTGACCGAGGGGATCCCTCTGCCACCAACCGTTATCTGGAAAATTGGGTGGAGTCACGTGGAGATAATCGTCTTATCGGCGCGTTATCGCCAACACCTTTCCGAGAGGTCGCGAAGCTGCCTGACTGACATCACACCGAACAAAAGTCACACTCGCAACCTCAAAGTACACAAAATGAGTGCATTTACGCCAAAACGAAAAGCGAAAGTAATCAAGGTTCTTGACGACGACGAAGATGACGCGGGAAAAGCGTCGCCAACTAGTCAAGAGCCAGTAAAGGATGGTGAGTCTGCAGATCCCTTCCAGAGACCTTGCGCTGATATTTTTCGCAAGACTAACGAGTCTCCAGAGGGTGAACCGGTAGCAGTCAAATTCACAAGGAAGCCTTTTCGCCAGTCTGGTTTGCGCAAGAGCATCAACTTTAACGAGACCGACGACTCGAACGGCGGCGTCGCAATCGGCGCAACCACGAAACCCAAACCCAAAGTCGCTGCACAGGACGATGAGGATGAGGATGGACCCGTAGTTATTCGTCCGTCAGTGAGCCGTTCAAGCTCACTGAAGCAAAAGAAGCGCCAGTCCTCCTCAAGATTGTCATTTGGTGGTGCTGGAAGTGATGGCGACCAGGGAGCAAAGTCGGGATACACGACCCCCAAGAAGTCGACTCTGGGTCACCAGGCACTCGAAAACAGTGCGCTCAAGAACCGATTACCCATGCGATCATTCCGCGACGATGATGAAGACCGTCCAAAGTACAGCAAAGAATACCTCAGCGAACTACAAAACGAGACGCCAAACACGCCGCAGAACCTAACGTCCCTGCGCATAGAAGACGAAGACGGGATGGATCTAGACTCCTCTGAGCTAGAGGGCGCATTGATAGTGAACCAGGATGAGTTTGCATCTCAGCCGGCCCAAACAAACATTCTCACAGAAGCCGAGATCCAGGAGAGGAAGCAGCGCAGGGCTCGGCTGGCGCAAGAGCAAGATGGCGACTTCATCTCCTTTGACGACACCGAGGACGGCGGTACCTCTCTGCGGAAGAAGAAAGCCGAAACTCGCCTCGTCGCCGAGGATGAAGATCTTGGCGAAGGCTTCGATGACTTTGTCGAGGATGGCGGCTTGTCGCTGGGTAAGAGGGCCGAAAGGGAGGAGAAGCAGCGCCGCAGGCGCGAGATGGCTGAGCAGATTAAGATGGCCGAAGGAGACTCGGGTGATGAGTCCGATGCGTCGGAGGCGGAACGACGTGCAGCTTTCGAGGCGGCACAGACAAGGTCGGGAATGGACGGCTTAGAGAAGCCCGAGCGCAATCCCACCGAACAGCTCCTGCAGGTTCCGCCAAAGATTACGCCGCTGCCGAGTCTGACAGATTGTCTTTCAAGGCTACAGGCTACAATGCGCGCCATGGAGCTCGAGCTTGCGGAGAAGAAGAAGCGGGTGGATGAGCTGACACAGGAGAAGGACGGCATCATGGTCAGGAAGGACGAGGTGCAGCAGTTGCTCAACGAAGCTGGACAAAAGTACACTACTGCTGTGGGCAACGGAGCTTCGGTCGAGTCGACTACGCAATCGCCAGCTAGACAGATTACGAATGCCGGAGCGAGCGAGCTGAGGGTTGAAAGGGGCCTCGAGAGCCTGGGAACGACACCGAATAATCGTCCAAACGTAGGAGATGTCGACTAGCTACTGTACTCGGGACCGACAGTACCTCATATATCGCGATACCCCAGATTAGAAAAGAGGAATAATGTTATCATAGCTTCAATTCTTTTCGATTGTCTAAGAAATAACCTCTCCGCATAAAGAGAGAAATGTCCTGCCAATGCCAACGCCACATGAGAATACACCTATGGTACAGACTACCACTTGCCGATTATAAGCACAATCACCCTGCCTTGATCGAGGTCAAGGCCCTTTCATCCCTATTGTTTAATGAGACCATCCAACAACGATCCTTATTTGGTCTTGGAGACGCCAGCACCAATGACACCCGGAAGCTTCTCCTCGCCAACACTGAAGAGCAGACCAATAGCAAAGGTCAGGGTACCGACCATGGCAATACCGAAGCCGACGAACAGCCAAAAGGGAACGCTGACGTCAATCTTGCTGCAAGTCCTGCCGCCCCAGTGAGTGACGCTGCCAGTGGTCTCGTTCTTAGTTCCGAGGCACATGCAGGAGAAGCATTCCTTTCCGGCTGACTGGCCATCCGCTTTGGCGTACTTGTTCAAGCACTCACCGTGGCCCGAACAATTACCAGTGGCCTTGACACAGGCATCCTGCGAGCCAAAGCAAGAAGGGATAGTACCCCTCTCGGCATTTCCAACGAATGGCGCCGTGCTCTGGACTGGCGTAGTGGGTGCGGGCGGATCGTGGTCGTCAGTCTCGGTCATAGTCATGACTTCCTCGGCTTGGCGGCGACGGAGCTCCTCGGGCTTTGAGGACCAATGACGCAACTTGGAGTTGCGAGATGACTCGGGCATCGCGATGATGATGGTTTCCATCTCGCCATTGGCAGCAAGCTGCTTGAGAAGGGTGGCGTTCTCAGTGAGGGACACGAGGATTGACGAGTCCTAAGGAGAGAAAGGGTTAGTTTCTTTGTGAAGGATGCAAGGTCTGTTGGAGTATTCGATGCTCACCTTCTTGGTATCATATCTGACGACAGAGGACTTGCCACTCCAACATTGTTCGGCAAAGGGGTTGATGGCCTTATCGAAAGCACAGTTCTTTGCGGTGACGCCAACCGACGGCAAGTCGTTGGCCAGCAGCATATCATTGGCCGTGATGGAGGGAGCATCTCCAACTCTGAAGCTAGGTCCAGAGGTAGCAAGAGACTTCTGGAGCGTCTTGGCATCGTCGGCAGTGATGCCCTCGAGCATGACGACGAGCTGCGACGGGTTTGTGGAGACGGCATTGCTGAAGAGGGCCTGAGGGGCCTTGCCGAACTCGTTCAGGTAGCTGACAGCGTTCTCGTTGGAGATAGACTCGGGAAGATCCCAGGATGCATGTTGACCCTCGGGTGACAGGCGTTGAAGGAGGATAAGGCGGGCAATCTGTCGTGGTAATGATGGAATATCGGAGCTCGAAGACTGCTTCGATTGCAGGAGATATACGTCAGCGGGCTGGTCCGAAGAGAGCGCGGTCGCGACGCCGGTCAGGGCAGCCGCAAGCCCTACGGAGAGCTTCATGGTGTCGTCTGATGTGGTTGGAGCTCGTAGATGGGGATTCGTTGATGATGTCGTGGAGGGGAGGAGGATGTGGATGCGACTGTTTGCTGCTTGCTGCTCTCTCACCAAGCTGCGGCGTGCGTCGAGGATGTCGAGCTCACAGTGCTCCGCCTGCACGCTGTTGCTACTGCCACACGTTCCAGGCCAAGCCCATCCAACCCCCGTGTCCCAAAAACGGATATCGGCAGAGATATTCTTCCGGCTGCTCCACTATGATCGGCTTGCTTAGGTAATACATTCTCCCACTGTGGACCTGGGGGGAAGGTCCCTCGAGGTGGACGGTGGACATTCCTACATGATCCGTGCTTGAGGTTCTTAGGCTTGCACTGTACGTACCTGCCGGGACAGTTGAGACTTCCCTTAGGTAAGCTACGGGCCCTTTTGAAGCTGCCGCATTCCTCGCCGCCAACAGTCCACGGTTCATGCACCACGGCAGAACAGAGTGGCGGGACGTTATCGGAGGGGCTTTCGTCACACTGTGTGCCGATAGCAACGCATTCACGCATCTAGAACCTCCCGTTGGTATAATGCGAAAGAGAATCAATAGCCGCCTCTAATCTAACGTTGTCATACATCGTACATCAGAGCAGTCGCCTAAGCCGCCACGAGGGCGCTGTCAGACACCAGCCCACCTTCAACTCGTTGTATTGCGCCCTGATTCTTCTTTCAACAACCGCGACTTTACCGACTTCCATGGTTTGCCTCTCGTCGCCATCCATCCCGCTGCCGCCGCCGCCGTCGTTGCCATCCTCTATCCATCTCCACCAACCATCAAAAGAACCACGACGAAGCTGAAGCAAGCTGAAGCATCACGATCGACGCCATCGAACTCTTATCGAAAAAATACTCGTCCTTTCTCCGTGTCCGGCAGCCGGCGCTCGGCGAGCGGCGAGCCCCCTCTACAGTGATGTGGCGGGTTTTCCGACCTCGCGCTGGCATATCGAATGCGAGCACCTTGGCTGTTCGCGCAGTCGCGCCACAAATTCCCAGCCAACAGACTGTCATCGTGCAGAGGGTGAAGCTTTCAAAGCCTAGATTTAGGGCCGGGTATGTCCACGTCACACAAATCATGTCAAGCCTGCTTCCACTAACCTTGCGCCTAGAACTTTCCTCATCGGAGCAGGCATTTCGCTCGCTTGTTGGCACATTTACTGGTCCACCGTTTTAAATCCATTCTTTCGACATGTAGATCGCGAATACGAGAAGCTGTCACCGGCGGAGAAGAAGGCGCTTGACGAAGAAATAGCTCAGGAGGATGCCGAGCCGTGGTTCATTCCGTTCCCCTTTACGACGAAATCTGTCAACCAGCCGCCGTACAAGGGCAGCGACCCCGAGTGGCTAGAGTTCGTCAAACTCAGCAAACAAAAGGGGACGCAGACCCAAATCCGCGGTAAGTGCCTATCCTGAGAATTGGCTGCAAATGTTCTCCCGACTGATCGCTGTCACTAGCCGACCTTGCCAACTGGGTGAAGTCCTCGGTCGAGAGGCACCCGGTAATCACAGCTAGATGTGGCAACTCAGTAAGGCTTCGTAGATATTGGCTGGACATCGACTTTCCATACCGACCACCACCGGTGTTCTACTCTTCTGGGTACGCGAACTCAAACCATCCCATGACACGCGATCAGGTAGCCACTAACAATACGCTCTAGATTACTGCTGCAAGGCGATGGATTGTACTGGTCAACTCAGCCCGTTGACTCGTTGACCGTTAAACGCCTACAAAAGATACTTTGGCCGGATGCAATTGCCGTATCTTCATGGGCTTTTACGAGTGCGCTATTAAAACAACACTACATGGATATTTCCCGAGCCCTTGGTTTCGAGTCAAGCAAGCCTGTTCAAACGTTTCCATCAGTCAACGGTGGCAACATGCAACAAAAGACTCAGGGGCCTCTTCCGTCTGCCAACAGACAGACTCCTGATGGCACGCCGGCAGAGAACGCCTCTCACAATGTCAGCAAGACAACGGATCCATCACAGGCAGACGAGCCAGAGAGCGGCGGCAAGACAAACTTTGTCAGGGACACTGCCATATCCCATATAGAGGGGATGAAGCAAATAACAGATGGCCCTGCAAGAGAATTCCGAAGGAAGCTTGCGCAGTCCTGGAAGCCCACACGACCATCTCCTCCGCGCGGCTGCATCCTCGTTTCAGGGTTCGTTGAATGCGAACTACCCAAGGGCTTCGTATTGATCGACGTCTGGGGATTCTGGAATCCCAAGACGGAGACGTTTGAGACGAAATCAACCTTTATGAATGTACGTAGGGTACAGATGAAGCAACAATCCCCTCGGCGGAGTTGATGGAATTCGCTAAGACACTCCCACCTTTTCTCATTGCATATTGGCGGCGTTAAGGTAGCGGTGAGCATCTACCTTTGGGTTAATTTGGCATTGGCTGGCGATTTGATCTCATCAGCACCACCCCCTCATCGATCGGGGGTCTAGCGGAACACTCTTCTGGTTTGTGAACGAGCATTCAACAGGTTACAGCAAGAGAGTGAGCGTTTGTTCGATACCAAGATACCATAGACGAGCACAGAAACGGGCCTGGGGCAAGACAGTAGAGAGGAGCAACGAGTTCCCCTCTGTCTCCTACAATGCCCTCTTTCTCTTCTGCAAATCATTTTCACTTGAAATCCTGCTGCGGTACTGTTTCTCTCGGTGACACGATCATTTGATTCCAGTGTGACTTGGTCTCCTGCAAACCTCCTGAGAGACGAGTTGCCGGGTTCGAGAGAAAAGGATCAAGTTGGCGTGAGGAGTCTTGTTATTCGCCGAAGCTTTTGCATTCTATTGCAAGAGTACGGATTAAGCACAACACGATTGAGAGCCACTGAACAGAGTGCCGGAACCCAAATAGGCGCAGCAGGCAAGCAGGAATGGGAGTCCGCGCCTGAAGTTTCTTTCTCCTAATTTTGCGAATGCAGCAGCGTCTGGGAGCACTGAGGTAAGTACCTAAGGTACCAAAGGAAATACCGAGATGTCTATTCCTCGGAAGGATCGCGGGCGTGAGGCGGCTCAAATGTGTGGCTGCGCTGCCCCGTTGAGGCCTCTGCGAAAATGAGGCCAAATGGCAAACTCCAGCATGGCACAACTACGACAATCCGGCGATTGACTCAGCCCGAATTACAATTTGATAAAATAATCCTGAGCAAGAGGCGGCCTCAGTCTTTATGCGCATACATAACGACGCAGATTAGTTGACGTCTCCATCCTCCCGGTAAATCATCAGCCTTCTACCATCATCACCTCTAAAGAGACCATCAACAAACATCCACTACCATGGCTGCACATCTCCAGCGCCGACTGCTTCAGGACTTTGCCGAGTTACAGCGAAACCCCTACCCTCGCGTTGCATTACATACCAGAGAAAACGATGTTCGCCGGGCATGCCTTGTTCTGCAGCCAGAGGGCTGGATGCCCATGCACACCACCGTCAACTTCGGAGACCGCTATCCTCTCGTCGCTCCCACCATCAAGATGAACACGCGAATGGTGCATCCCAACGTTTTTGACACCTATATCTGCGCATCAATCCTCAATACGTTTGAGGGATACACACCGGCGTATACCCTCAAGGGCATTTCCATTCAAATGCTGAGCTTTTTCAGCAGCGATTCGTTGGAGCAGGAGGGCGGATTTTACACCGAGCCTCTCGAGTGGTATCGGCAAGAGAGCCTCAAATGCCGGCAGGACTTCAAATGTCCTCACTGCAACTTTGATGGAACCAAGAGCAAGGCAGACTTTAGAAGAGCTCGAAGGCACGCCCTGAAAGCCTTGTCGCCGACGCCATCATCATCATCATCCTCGTCAAGTGCTGCGACTATAGCGGCTGCCTCCAAAGACCACCAGGGATGTGTCTTGGCCGCATTGCCTGACGAGCTTCTGCTAGAAACTCTCCACAGTCTCGACTTCGCGGATCTCCTCTCCTTTTCACGGGCTTGGCCGCGGATTGCAGACATACTTCGCGGATATGATGTTATCCGATTGAGAGAACTCCAATGCTTTGTGACCAAAACCAACTTCCGAGATACGAAGCTCGGTGTAGGCGTCATGGTCCCCAAACGCAAGCGGGCTATAGAATCAGAGTTTGACCTCATCTCTCTGCCGGCATTTCAGGACCTGGGAGTCCGCTTCTCCGTCCACAATGTCGCCTTCGAACACTGGCTTCCGCTGCCTCTGAGCCGCCGTCACTGGAGCTCCGTCAAAGACTATGTTACACCCGTGATGCATAGTCTAGCCGTGGCTATCTCGTTACCGAGCGCCAACAACTCTGCAGTGGGAGTTCTCGCCGCCTTCATGAACGACATTGTTGTGCGGCTCAATCAAGTAGATGCACACACATCATCTAGCGGCGCAGCATACAGAGGCAACGATAATGTCAGGATTCCACAGATGAGTACGTTGCGGCACGCGTCAGAGAAGGCGATCGAGTCTTACTTCCATCTATTTCACCTTCTGCTCTGCCTGGCGACGGCGGATCCCAAGCTGGTCACCGACGCCAATAACAAGATCAAGAGATTTATGGGTGGTAAGACCTCAAAGATATCTTGTCCGAATCTTGGTCACCTCCTGGTCTACCTCCTCATCAGCGACTTTGATATGACGGAGGCTATGAGAAAAGCGATCATCACCGAAGCCATCACGCGCAACGTCGTCTGGATGCTCGACAGGAGGGGCTCCAATATGCCGGAGTTGAGCTATCTCGAGCCGGATTACGTCTCGGGGTATCGTTTGAAGAGAACCTTTGAGGCGAATCGCACCTCATACCGACTCCTCATGTTTTCGGAGCTCTTCCGCCGCATCGCCAGACCTTCCAACGGAAAAACCTTGGAGCAAATCCGGGACGAGCTCTTCGACCGTCATGGCGCACCCCCTGCTGGTGCCGCTCTCCAGCTATCCACCGAAGTCCGCCGCCTTCATGGCATCGACAATTTCCCCCATTTCTTCAACGAAATGGGAATTGTGCACCATCCGTCAGCTGAAAATTTCACCAGCGTGCTACGGGACTGTGTCAAGGACAGCATGAAAAGAGGCTACTCGGTCTGGGGCTTGCCGGTCCCTACTGCTCTGGCCTTGCGATCCCGGATAGAGCCCAACGTTGGCGTTCGAGCAAACCTTGTGGTGAGGAACCCTCCTGGTCCTCGCTACATGTCAAGGATCACTTTCTTCCCTGACAAGGACCGCCGGAGCTGAACAGCCACCTTGCAAGAGTCTTAGAGCGGGAAAGAGAGATTTTGCTTGAGCCGAGCAGTCGAGTTATTGGAGATGATACCCCTAATGAAATTAGAAATTCGAATGAGAAACAATTAGTTAAATCTAGTTTATCGTGAACCAAGTCATGAATCCTCCAGACTATCGTCCAATCGCGAACCAAATGTTCGAAATGGTTACGATCTTTCGATTAACTCGAGTCACAATGGGCAAGTAGTTGGTTCGTGAGTTTGAACTACAATATCTTCCTTTGCGAAGAGTGCTAAAATAATCGAATAAATCTCCATTCGCTCAATATTGATCTTTTTTGCAAGTGTATCTCATTAAAAGATTCCTCAATGTCTATTCTACTGGGGAACGTGTTCTTCTGTCTTGATTTTTTAGATACCGGTACATTAGCATATCGAGTATCGTGAGGCATCGTCCTGCTCCCAAGGTCCGCACCAGCAAGGTGAAGGCAGCTCGGTGAGCACGGGTGCCTTCGGTGAGCATGAAACCTTGTTAGTCAGCAGGTATCTTACGTAAGGCCTCTGCAGGGTCCCCCGGCCGCTCTCACTCAACGTCACTCCCTCCCCCCCAACTTTTACGTCCCCACGTCCCTTCGTCCTCCCCCGAACTCGTCGTTCTTCGGGTCCAGCCCGTGTAAGTGGTTCTGCGAGGTTTTCGTCTTCACTTTGGCTCCCACTTTCATTCCCGTTCTCGTTGATGGACAAGGACTACAGGCACGATACGTGCTTTTCATTTTGAATCTCACTTATACCTTCATGGCCTTGCCTTGCCTTACTGTGCCTGCTGAGATCCGGCGGCCTCCCTGTCGTTGTCTTGTAACACCAGGATTCTCTACATCTTGATTGACGATGGCTTCAACCACTTCAAACACAAATACCTCGGTTCAAGAAGACAAGAGTCAGATTCACTGAGAGTTCCCTTTTGATTGTAGAAAACATCACAGATTATGGGTTGCCTGTCAACCTGTCCATTCCATCTGGACGAACGCCTTGCCCCAACGCCATACACCAGGACATCAATTCAGAAACAGCCATACATGGACCAGCCATCTCGACCAATCTTAATCAAAAAACGACGATCGCATCTGATTTCATCACGAAATGATCCAAGGATCCCTCCAGGGTGGCTCTCACCCTCTCCGCGTGCGACTGCGTCCCTCTACAGCCGCCATGTAAGCCAAGGCATCATCCACTGCGTCAAAGTCAGCAATTGAGCTTCACGAAACAGCACATCACGGTGTGTCATAGTGAGCTTGGGAAAAGAGCACTGACATTGAGACTCAACCCTCTCCCGACCGGCAATGTACCAGGCCTCGTTAATCCTGTCTCGCTCAGACTCATCGCCGAGGCAGGGGAAGAATTGAACATCTGTCGACAGCGGCGCCAGGTCTGGTGTGCGGAGCCTGGTAATGCGGGGAGCCCCAAGCGCTGACGATGAGTGGGCGGGGACTGTGAAGTCCTCGTGAATGTATTCTCCAGCATCATCGGGGAAGAGGATGAAGTCATCGTATGGCGCATACTTGGCTGAAAAGTCGCCGTCGTGGAAGCTGCAGCTGCTGCCTTTTTCACGTCCGGATCTTGTACATGGCTCTTCATTGTGGGTGCTTGGGCTAGTCCATGATCCCATTGCAACAAGGCTGTCATGATCCGGGCTGCGTCTCCGTCTCTGCGAGACGGGTCCAGGGCTTCGTCGGTATGACGAAGGCTGGTGCCTTGGGCGCGGAGACGGCGGTATGATGTACAGCTGCTCATCACTTAGAGGATTGGACACGACGCTGCTTCTGTAGTCGGCAGGGCGATACGCCCGCATCGACGTCTGTGTCGGGGACGCTGGAGAACGTCGATCACGTGGCCCGGCAAGGGCATCTCTGTGTCTGTAACCGTGAGGGGAAGCGCTCTCCTGCGATGGCACCATTACTGAGCACATCTGACGTCCTGGTGTCATTGGAGACTTGGATCGTGGCACAGTGGTGAAGTCTGGGTTAGTATCAAAGTCGAGAGGCAAGAAAGCCATGGTGCTATCTTAACGAGGCCTTGTAGAGCAGGACCGGAGATACTTTTGATGGAACTGGCGATGAA